TGAGATGGAGTCTCACTCCGTCACCAGGCTGGAGTGCGGTGGTGTGATCTCGGCTCACTGCAACCTCTGCCTCCCAGGTTCAAGCGATTCACCTGCCTCAGCCTCCCGAGTAGCTGGGACTACAGGTGCATCCCACCACACTCAGCCGCTTTTTGTATTTTTAGTAGAGACCAGGTTTCACATGTTGGCCAGGATGGTCTTGATCTCTTGACCTCATGATCTGCCTGCCTCAGCCTCCCAAAGTGCTGGGATTACAGGTGTGAGCTACCACGCCCAGCCCAGCCTCTGCATCTCTAAACACTCTCCACATTGAGGAGCGAGGACTTGCAGCCATTGGCCCCTAGAAAATGTCAGTGCTACAGCCTTGTTGGCTGGCGGATCCTCCCACATGCCCTCCGAGTCCCTTATGTCAGCCTCCTCCACTGTCTGCTGGCAGCCGTGGCTCTTAGAGATGCTCATAAACTGTTGAATGAGTGGATGAATCAATGATCCCACAGGTGACTTTGTAGATGGATGAGCCCCTGGTCATTAGACACAAAAAGAACCTCCCCTGAGCCATGCTGGGACCCTGCTGTGTGCCAGGCACTTCGCTGATTTGGCTCTTCTATTATATTTACTGTTTAATTATTTTATTGTTAAAAGTTGTGGTAAAATACACATAATGTAAAACTTACCATCCTAACCATTTTTAAGAGTACAGTTCAGCTGGGCATGGTGGTGTGCACCTGTGGTCCTAGCTACTTGGGAGGCTGAGGCAGGAGGATTGCCTGAGCCCAAGAGTTCGAGGCTGGAGTGCGCCATGATTGTGTCTGTGAACAGCTGTTGCACTCTTGCCTGGACAACATAGTGAGACTCTGTCTCTTAAAAAAAAAACAAAAAACAAAAAATAGTCAGGCACGGTGGCTCATGCCTGTGATCCCAGCACTTTGGGAGGCCAAGGCGGATGGATCACCTGTTTGGTCAGGAGTTTGAGACTAGCCTGGCCAACACGGTGAAACCCCATCTCTACTAAAAATACAAAAATTAGCCAGGCGTGCTGGCACACACCTGTAATCCCAGCTCCTCAGGAGGCTGAGGCAGGAGAATTGCTTGAACCTGGGAGGCAGAGGTTGCAGTGAGCCGAGGTCACGCCATTGCACTCCATCCTGGGCAACAAGAGCTAAATTCTATCTTAACAACAGCAACAACCAACCAAAAAAAAAAAAAAAAAAAAAACCAGTTCAATAGTGTTAAGTACATTCACATTGTTATGCAACCAATCTCCAGCACTCTTTTCATCTTGTAGGAAGGAAATTCTGTCCCCATTAAACATGAACATCCCCACCACCTCCAGCCTCTGGCAGCCACCAGTTTACTGTCTGTCTGCACGAGGTTCACTACTCTGGGTACTTCATATGAGTAGAATCGGGAAGCATCTGTCGTTTTGCGACTGGCTCATTTCACTGAGCAGAATGTCCTTGAGGTTCATGCATGTTGTAGCACGGGTCAGAATTTCCTTCCAAGGCTGGAGAACATTCCATCACGTGGATAGACCACGTTTTGTTGATCTGTTCATCTGGTGATGGGCACTTGAGTTGCTTCTGGCTTTTAGTGATCGTCTAGGAATATGGGTGTGCAAATACCCCTTTGGGTCCCTGCTTTCACTTCTTTTGGGTATACACCCAGGAGTGGAACTGCCGGATCATATGGTAATTCTATTTTTGATTTTTTGAGGAACAGACTTAGCTCTTTGAGTTCTCATCGCATTCTTCACCTAGATAGGCGAGGAGACCGAGGCTAAAAGATTGTGTGTAAACCCAGGTGCCATGTGTGGGCAAAGCCTGTGCTGCACAGCATCCTTGGCCCTCTCTGCTCTATCACAGGCATGTGGGCTGCTGGGAGAGGCAGGTTTGGTGCAGGACAGGACAGGCCTGCTTCACTGGGTGGAGGGGGGCCCAACGCAAAATGAAAATGCAGGGCTCGCAGGAAAACAGCTTTTTGCTTTCTTCTGTGGTCTCTCTGTCAACATGCCAAGGTATTTTACATTTGTTTTCTTTTTTTCGTTTTTTTTTTTTTTTGGAGACAGAGTCTCACTCTGTCACCCAGGCTAGAGTGCAGTGGTGTGATCTCGACTCACTGCAACCTCTGCCTCCTGGGTTCAAGTGATTCTCCTGCCTAAATTTGCATTTTAAAGTCGTGTTCCTTCAGGTGTGGGGATCCTCACCGGAAGAGTGCAGACCCTCACAGGCACCAGGCTCTGTCCTGGAACTTGGTGCATAAACCGTGTGTCTGGCTTCCCCTCCCCACTAGCACCCAGGCCCAGGCCCCCACCAGGGGGAGTAGGGGGACAGCGGTCACCAGGCAGGGGCAGGGGAGCAGGGGAATGAGAACCTGTCCCAGGGAGGCTCCACGTCTCCAGCATACACTCCACTGTCCCCTGGGATATTTGTTACAAAACACAAATTCAACAATAATTTGAAATTAATAATTTCAAATCAGCAACCTCAGGGCATTAAACCCCAAGTGCAGGGTCCGTTTCTCTGTTCATGTCTTGGCTCTGCCATTTATTAGCCACAGGGACCTGGGAGAGTGCTCCAGCCTGAGGCCCCGTGAGCTTTAAATGGGGATAAAAGGCCAGGTGCGGTGACTCATGCCTGTATTCCCAGTACATTGGGAGACTGAGGCAGGAGAATTGCTTGAGGCCAGGAGTTTGAAACCAGCCTGGTTAACATAGTGAGATCTCCTCTCTCCAAAAAACAAAAATAACCCTGGGGGCAGTGGGGGATAAAGGACACAGTTGAGCTCATGTTTTGTTCGGATGAGGTGAGAGCGGAAAGGAAGTAATAAGCCCGGAGCCAGGGCTGGTTGAGGTGGCTCATGCCTGTAATCCCAACGCTTTGGGAGGTCGAGGCGGGCAGTTCACTTGAGTTCAGAAGTTTGAGACCAGCTTTGGCAACATGGTGAAACCCTGTCTCTACAAAAATGCAAAAATTAGCTGGGTGTGGTAATGCGTGCCTGCGGTGCCAGCTACCTGGGAGGCTGAGGTGGGAGGATTGCTGGAGCCACCTCACCTGGGAGGTGGAGGTTGCAGTGAGCTGTGATCGTGCCACTGCAGTCCAGGCTGGGGGATGAGAGTAAGACCCTGTTTCACTGGTGGTGTTACGAGTGGAGGCCGTTTCTTCTCGTCCACACCACCCTCTCTCAGGGCTGTGCTCTGGGCCTCAGTTGATGCCCCTCTGCTTGGTGGCCAGCATCTGCCCCTCTGGTGCTAGGCTGGCCGGCCCAGGGCTCCCTGGAGCCTTTGTGTGTTCCTGTGCACACCTCCTTCTTGGCTCTTTGTCTCCTGGGACTGTGATCCGCTCTGCTCCCAGCTGTCTCCTCCCCAATGCCCCTCTTTTCTCCAGAAAGAAGTGCAGATCAAATTCCATGTGCTGCTCACCTCCTATGAGCTCATCACCATCGACCAGGCCATCCTGGGCTCCATTGAGTGGGCCTGCCTGGTGGTAGATGAGGCCCACCGCCTCAAGAACAACCAGTCCAAGGTAGGTGGCGCCGGCCGCCAGACCCTAGAGATGCCCAGGGCGAGGGGCTGCGCAGAGCCCCCTGATGGGCCCCCCTCTCCTCCCCTCAGTTTTTTAGGGTCTTAAACAGCTACAAGATTGATTACAAGCTGCTGCTGACAGGGACTCCCCTGCAGAACAACCTGGAGGAGCTGTTCCATCTCCTCAACTTCCTCACTCCAGAGAGGTTCAAGTGAGTCACCTGGATCCGGCCAGGGAGGTGGTGGTGGGGCTGGGGTGGCCCCAGTGAAGACAGATCAATAGCCCATCCTGGCTGTGAGACCTGCTCAGCCGTTCCTTCTTCATCAGTAAAAAGGGAGTGTTAGCGACGTCCCCGCTTTGACCTCCCGCAGAAGCAGCGTGTTGGGGTGGGTGGCGTGGGTACACGGGAGTGTTTGGTAAATATCAACCGCTGCTAATACCACGACTCTTCCTTAGCTCTGCCCTAGACCACCCAGGGCTCCTCCTGGACTACTGTCCCTGCCTGCACTCCCCTGGCAGGTTCCTTTCCCTCTGCTGAGACCCCAGTGACTCACATGGGCAACCGTGGGGGAGGCAGAGGCAAGCTCCCAGGTAGCCGGAACCCACTGCCCCAGCCTCCTCATCTTCACCTACCTCCACTTGCCTGCTCAGAATGGGGCGTTCAGGGTGCAGAGTGTCGATTGTGGAATCAGGAGATGTAGTTTTTTTTTTTTTTTTTTTTAAAGAAACAGTCTCACTCTGTCGCCCAGGCCAGAGTGCAGTGGCTTGATCTCAGTTCACTGCAACCTCCGCCTCCTGGGTTCAAGCCATTCTCCTGACTCAGCCTCCTGAGTAGCTGGGATTACAGGCATGTGTCACCATGCCCAACTAATTTTTGTATATTTTTAGTAGAGATGGGGTTTCACCATATTGGCCAGGCTGGTCTTGAACTCCCGACCTCAGGTGATCCGCCCATCTCGGCCTCCCAAAGTGTTGGGATTACAGGCGTGAGCCACCAGGAGATGTAGATTTGAGGGCAGGTTTTGGCAAAGCTGGACTGTATCAGCTTGGGCACTCATCAGACTCAGCTTCCTCCTCTATTATCTGGGTAATAGAGAGCTCCTGTCCTGGATGGTTTTGAGGATGGGAAGGTATCCAGGGTGGCTGAGGAAAAGAGGGCTGTAATGTGTAGAGGCGACAAGGCTTAGACAGAAATTGAGACGATACCCAGGGCAATGCCAGGGCTCTCTGGTTCACCAGCCAGCCAGCCTACATGGGCTGGGCGCTCTGCACCCTGCCTCCCCTGCCCCGGTCCTCTGCTCTTGGCTGTTATCCCAGCTTTTTGTTGCAGCAACCTGGAGGGCTTCCTGGAGGAGTTTGCTGACATCTCCAAGGAAGACCAAATCAAGAAGCTACATGACCTGCTGGGGCCGCACATGCTCAGGCGGCTCAAGGCTGACGTGTTCAAGAACATGCCGGCCAAGACTGAGCTCATCGTCCGGGTGGAGCTGAGTCAGATGCAGAAGTGAGTGGTGGGCTGAGTCTGGAGCAGCCTGTGCGTGCCCCTTCCCCTGGGCTGCTCTCCTGGGTCGCTTCCTCAGGTGGGTGGAGGGCTCTTCAGCCTCACTGAGGCCTGGGCTCATGCTTTGCATACACTTTCTTCGTGGGGCCTCTTCTCAGGTTTTAGTGACCAGCGTTTCGGCCGCCTGAGTGCTAGCAGTGTCCCCCAGTCACTTGCAGGGGGACTCCAGGCTGGTGGCTTCACCTCTTGGGGGTCCCTTGGGTCTCTCTATAAATGGGTGCTTGGCCACCAGCTTCCAGCCCCGCTGCAGAGCGGAGAGAGCCCTCTAGGAGGTGGGTCTGATCCAGCCTGCCTTTCCTCGTGCCCTGCTGCAGGAAGTACTACAAGTTCATCCTCACGCGGAACTTTGAGGCGCTGAACTCCAAGGGAGGCGGGAACCAAGTATCGCTGCTCAATATCATGATGGACTTGAAGAAGTGCTGCAACCACCCCTACCTCTTCCCTGTGGCTGCTGTGGTAGGTTTCCCTGGCCATCATGGCAGCTTCTTCATGGCCGCCATGGTAGGTGCCTGTGACTACTGTGGTAGGTTCCTGTGGCCGCTGTGGTAGGTTCCCCTGGCCATTGTGGCGATGCCGCCATGGTAGGTTTCCCTGGCCATCACGGAAGGTTGCCTGTGGCCACTCTGGAAGGTGCTGGGGAACTTAATGTGGAACCCGCTGCTGTGGTAGGGCTGGCACAGCTGTGAGCCCTGCCTGGGAACAGGGAGCCTGGAGCCAGGGCCATGGGACCCACAGTCTACCCCGCACTGTGGAGCCTGGCTCGGGTGTGGGCCTCATGTTCAGCAGGCAGACAGGCCATCACCCCATTGCTCGGCACCTGTCTGTTCCCTGCGGCCTCTTTGGTGCAGTCGGAGAGGGGAGCCCGCCAACGCCCCCCCTCCTGCTGTGTCTGCAGGAGGCCCCTGTCTTGCCCAATGGCTCCTACGATGGAAGCTCCCTGGTGAAGTCTTCAGGGAAGCTCATGCTGCTGCAGAAGATGCTGAAGAAACTGCGGGACGAGGGGCACCGTGTGCTCATCTTCTCCCAGGTGCGCTGCCCCTGCCCAGCCCCGCCACGGCTCCACACCCCACAGAGAGCATCCTGCCCTGATGTTTGGGGGCGCAAACTTGCTGGCACCCTTCAGGACCCAGTGCTGGTGCCATGCGGGTCACGTGACTGTGTGTCAGTGGTCACGCCCCCGTGCTCTGGCATGATGCAGCTGAGGAGCTCAGAGCACAGTTGCCATAAAGAGCAGCATCTACCCGCACCTGCCCTTCTGGTCTGCATAGCCAGGCTGGTAGACAGCCCCCTCCTCCCCTGCAGCTTGGTTTCTCATTAAGGTGGGGCCCCGGGGTATGGTTGGGAGGAACTCCTCTCTCCAGTAGGCCCTGAGGGGCCACTGGCACCTGGCTTGTTGGCTTGGAGGCAGGGCTGCAGGCTCAGGTGTGTTCATTTCTTTCTCCATCCCTTTGTTTGCGTCTGTCATAGTCAGGCTCTGTGCTGGCACATGGGTGCAGGGACCAGTGATCTAGTCCCTGTCCTCAAGCTGCTCAGTCTACTGTGGGAGACAGCTCAAGGAACAGGTACCTGACCCTGTGGTCAGCTCTGTGTTGGAGGCCATAGTGATGATCCTACAGGGTCATGGGGCTAAAAATGCTCCTCTTGTGGGCCGACTGAGCCAGGCCCCTTGCTCAAACCCAGAGTCTGGGCTATGGCTCCTTGTGCACAAACATCAACTGAAAGCAGCGTCCGCCGCCTGCAGCCCGGGTCACCCTGCTGGGCTGCTTCAGCGCAAAGAATACTGGAAAGCAGGGCAGGTGTGAGAGCAGCGGCCGAGCCGAGGAGTGGCTAGAGTGGAGATGGATCCACACCCCCCAGTACCTCGGTACGAACACGAGACGCAAGTCTGGTCAGAGGCCTTGAGATACCCAATAATGGGAACCACACAGCTTCCAGAAATGTGCACGTGGGGCAAGCGGCAGAGACGGGACCCTCCTGCCCAAAATGAGCCTGTGAACCCCAATTCCAAACCCATACAAAAGTGAATGCCGAGACATCCCCCAAAGCAATAAATAGAATCCAAGTAAGAAAATTGGGGCTGGGGCCAGGCGTGGTGGCTCATGCATGTAATCCCAGCACTTTGGGAGGCCAAGACGGGTGGATCATGAGGTTAGGAGATCGAGACCATCCTGGCTAACACGGTGAAACCCCGTCTCTACTAAAAATACAAAAAAAAAAAAATTAGCCGGGTACGGTAGCGGGTGCCTGTAGTCCCAGCTACACGGGAGGCTGAGGCAGGAGAATGGCGTGAATCCGGGAGGCGGAGCTTGCAGTGAGCAGAGATCCGGCCACTGCACTCCAGCCTGGGCTACAGAGTGAGACTCTGTCTCAAAAAAAAAAAAAGAAAAAAGAAAAAGAAAATAGGGGCTGGGTGCAGTGGCTCACCCTGTAATTCCAGCGACTTGGGAGGTTGAGGCAGGAGGATTGCTTGAGCCCAGGAGTTGAAGGTTGCAGTGAGCTATGATCTTGTCACTTCAGTCCAGTCTAAGGGACAGAGCAAGACCCTGTCTCTTGAGAGAGAGAGAGAGAGAGAAAGAATAGGATAGCCTGAAAAGACTTTATGTAGACGTGTTTAGTATCCTCAAAAATGATGAAGTAATTGACACCCTAAAATAAAGAAGAAATTAAGCAAAAGCAGGAAGAACTGAAATAGGAACAACTGGATAGAAACATGCATGAAATTGAGATAAAACATTTCAACAGACTGGACAGACTCTGAACACTGTTGAAGAGAACTTATTGATGAATTGGAACCCGGTGCTGAGGCATTTCCCCAGAATGCAGTGTACAGAGACAAAGATAAAACAGAGAGAACATGGAAGACACCTTGAGATGCTCCAACAATCATCCAATTGGAGTTGCAGAAAAAAGAGAAAAAATGGTGAAGAAGCTGGATTTGTTGAGAGTTTGCAGACCTGGAGAGAGATGTGAGGTCTCAGATCTGGAGTGCCTTCTGGAATACCAAGCAAGATAAATATAAATAAATGAATCCTTAGACACTTTAGAACCCCTAGGTACTTTAGACCTAGTACCTACAAAATAAGGGCAACCAGATCGTTCTCAGTCTTCTTAACAACAACAGGTGGCAGGGACCGTGGCAAAATCTCCAATGCACTGAGGGAAAATGTGTGCTGATAGTTTTATATCCAGCTAAACTCTCTCTCTCTCGAGAATAAAGGGAATTACGCGGGGTCATGGGAGCTTAGAAGGGACTGCTTTTCTTTTCTCATGGGGAGGATCGAAATCAGGGAAGACATTACAGAGGTGATGTTTGTGTTCCCTAGGCAGGAAGGGGGTGGGTATTCCGGAAAGAGAGTCAGGTAGTTTGGAATGACTGGGGGCTGTGAAGGAGCACTAGTCCAGCAGAGCCTTGAATACAGGGCAAGAAGATGGAGCTTAATTCTGTGTGCTGGGAGCAGGGGAGGCTCGTGTCAGAGCCCTGATTTAGGCAAGTGGCTGCGGGGCTGGGCAGGAGGATGGATTGGCTCCGCGGGGTGAGGTTGGAAGCTTCGTTCTTCCCCAGAGTCCTGAGTTGGGCCTGCCTGGGACCCAGCTGAGTCCCCACCTAGCAGGCGGCTCTCTCCCTCCCCTGGCTGTGGCGGGGTCCCTGCCCATGGCCCATGGGGTCCCTTGCTCCTTGGCAGTTCCTCACGTGCCCGTCTCACCTGCAGATGACCAAGATGCTGGACCTCCTGGAGGACTTCCTGGAGTACGAAGGCTACAAGTATGAGAGGATTGATGGTGGCATCACCGGCGGCCTCCGACAGGAGGCGATCGACAGATTCAACGGTACCCCCATCCCGCCCAAGGGTTCTGATTGAGACCCCTTTTTGGCCTCTTCTCCCAGGCCTGGTTCTTAGCCAGGCCACCCAGCCAATGGTGTGTAAGCAGAGCCCCACAAACAGCTGAAGACAGCAGGCCAGTCCCAGGCCCCTGAGCTTCCAGTGTTAAAAGGATTCCTCCCATGGAATCGGAGTTCTGAGGGGCCCAGCAGATAACACCTGCTGGGAATGGAGTTAGACAATGAGAAAGGCAGACGGGGGCCTCTAATATTGACACCAGGTAAGCCCCAGTTACAAGTGGTGTTGGACAGAGCCTGCCGTATGGCAAATGGTGGCAGGAGGTACAGAGATGCATGTGCTACCTGGGGCCACTTCCAGAGGCAGGAGAGAGTGAAACGGCCGGGCCACACACGATCAGGTTCTTCCCCCAGAGTCACCCACGCTTGGTCTTCCCTGGCTGGGAAGGAGAGACGAGGGCAGAGGCGAGGAGGGTCTTGCCAGTGGAGCTTCTCCTGTAGCAAAGGAAACTTCTGGAGTGGGAAGCAGTCAGCTGCAAGCTTCAGTAGCAAGTTTGCAGCAAATAGTAACAAGCTTTGTTTCCCTGGGGCATCAGCCCTTAGAAAGGGGCTGGACCACGCTCTCCAAACGCCCGAAGCAGTAATTCCTTTTGCACACTCGTGCCAGAGAGCCAGGAGGAATAGCAAGTTCAGAGTTTCCGGGTCTAGACGTGGCCCAGCCACATGTGGAAGCAGGAGTGGCTGAAGCCCTGGGTGTGCCGGGGGCCTGTTTGCAGCTCCAGTGGGGGCTGTGGTCAGTCCCAGGTCACTGAAGGGCCCCGAGAGGCTGAGAACCTGCCATCCTGTGACAGGGTTGCCCAGTGGGGTGGGACCCCAGGCCCCAGAGCTGTGCCCCTGAGTTTTCCCGGGCTGCCCTGGCAGCATCGGTGGGCTAAGGGAAGCCGGGGGTGGGAAGCTGGGGGGACATGGAGGACTGAGCTCTCTGGGCTCTGCTTGTACTTTGCTGGCGGCTTGCACTTTGTTTTTTGCTCATCTGGGCTTTGAAAATTGACCTCCTCGTTCTAGTGACCTCCCATTGGGCCAGGGCTCAGAGCACGCTGGGGGCTAAGTGGGCTTGGGCAGGCCTCCCCTCTGGCTCCCCTGAGTGCAGCTATGGCCACCTGTCTCTGCTGGGGTCTCCGGCTTTGTCCTTCTCTGCCAGGGACCTGTTGCTGCAGTTCCTTCCCTCTGTTCTCCCCGCCTCCTTTCTGCCACGCCCGTCTCCCCGCCCAAGGTACACCCCCACAAACACCCCCATCTGCTGGCCTCTCTTTTTCAGCCCCCGGGGCCCAGCAATTCTGCTTCCTCCTTTCAACCCGGGCAGGCGGCCTGGGCATCAACCTGGCCACAGCCGACACTGTCATCATCTACGACTCGGACTGGAACCCGCACAACGACATCCAGGTCTGTGCCGCTGCCACCCGTCACCCTCCCAGGGGGCCTCTCATCCCGGGCCTGAGGCAGGTTCTGTCCTTCATGCCCTCCTGGCCATGGCCCCCTCACCTACCCTGCTGCTGTGGGCCTCCGTCCCTTATGGAGTCTCGGCCCCAAGACGGGCCCTGGGAGTGAGTGGAAGCTCATCCCGCCAGCTCCGTCCTTGTCCGGAGGAGGAAACAGGCTTGGAGAGGGCAGGGAGAAGGCAGGGGAAGTGTCCCGGGGCGCACAGCAGTTCGTCGGGGCCTCTGATCTGGTCTTTCCCATCCTCAGGACCAAGGAGGGAGGCAGGAAGAGGGAGCCCGGGGACCCAGAGGGGCACCCATTTTGGAGGGGGCGGGGAGCAGAGAGTGGGGCCTGTGGGAGGTGAGTAGGGGAGGATGAGATAGTACAGGGGGCAGATGGGGCTGATAAGGAAGGATGGAAGGGCTGCGGGCGGAGGGGCTATGGGAATAGAGCCACCCTCGTGTCCCTGGCCACCCCTCTCGGGCACTGGGACACACACATTGAACGCTTACAAATGTAGGGGAACACATACAAATTGATGTCTCTCATTCACGCGTGTGCGCGCCCATGCACACGGATACACACGGCCACACCCAGGTCACCTCATGCAGGGCTGCACAGAGGCACGTCCTTGTATGATACTGGGCAGATTCAGCTCCTTGCTGCCCTCAGAAGGTGGCTGCGCGCCTCCAGCACATGGTCTTGTGGTCCCATTAGTGGTTCGCTCGCAGGGAAATGCAGCCTCCTCCTACCTCCGTATGGCCCCCATGAAGCTCTGTGTGGCTTCAGTTACACTCAGCACACTGGCCGTGTCATCCCTCCCACACTCTTGCACACCTGCAGTCCTGCCTGCTTCCACTGGCTGGGAGCTTTTCCACTCCAAACCCAGCCTGGCACCCAGGCTCGTGGGAGGCTCCGCAGTCAGGGAGGGAGCCCAGCTGCAGGGGTGTACGCACCACATGCCTTTGCCTACACAGTCATGCACCCCATTCCATGCTCTTGAGCTCATTGGTGTGACCCCTTCCATTGCCTGGAGCCCTGGGTGAGCCACAGGTGCTGAGGTGCAGGTCTCCCCAGGCCTTCAGCCGCGCCCACCGCATCGGCCAGAACAAGAAGGTGATGATCTACCGCTTCGTGACTCGGGCCTCAGTGGAGGAGCGCATTACGCAGGTGGCCAAGCGCAAGATGATGCTCACCCACCTGGTGGTGCGACCTGGTCTTGGCTCCAAGTCGGGGTCCATGACCAAGCAAGAGCTGGATGACATCCTCAAGTTCGGCACAGAGGAGCTCTTCAAAGACGACGTGGAGGGTGGGCCTCTGTTCCGAGGGAGCATGGCGGGGCCTGGGGTGGTCCCGCTGAGACACCTATCCAGGGCTTGCTGGGGTCCCTGCCCGCTCCAACACACAGCCTCTCTCCTGCACCCCCAACCTGTGTCTCCTGGCCAGGACAGCCCAGGGTGGTGTCTGCCCGCCAACCCTGCAGCCGTCTGTGCTCCTGCAGCCCTCTGTGCTCCTGCACCAGTGCTCTCCTCCTCTGTCTGACAGGCATGATGTCTCAGGGCCAGAGGCCGGTCACACCCATCCCTGATGTCCAGTCCTCCAAAGGGGGGAACTTGGCTGCCAGTGCAAAGAAGAAGCACGGCAGCACCCCGCCAGGTAGGGGTCAACCCAGCCTAGTCTCAGCTCCTCCTGCGGCCAGGTGGCTGTTCCTGCAGAGGAGAGGGCTTCCTCAACCCGCCCTCACTTGGGTGTCCTGGGACTGCCGGGTGGACGGGGAGCAGAGCTGTGACAGCGCGGTTTCCTCTGTCTGGTCACCACGCCTCTCAGCTGCAGCCCCTGGTGGGGATGGGAAGGGCCATTGTTCGGAGTCTGTTCCCGGGTCCCCGGGGCTGGATCAGGGCAGTCTTTGTCCCCGCACTGCACTTGCCTGCTCCCCAGGTGACAACAAGGATGTGGAGGACAGCAGTGTGATCCACTATGACGATGCGGCCATCTCTAAGCTGCTGGACCGGAACCAGGACGCTACAGACGACACGGAGCTACAGAACATGAACGAGTACCTGAGCTCCTTCAAGGTGGCGCAGTACGTGGTGCGCGAGGAGGACGGCGTGGTAAGGTCCCGGCCTGCCCTCCTTCCGCAGCCCCGCCCTCCAATGCGCCCACACCTTCCACTGTGACCCCGCCCTCCTGCCACAGCCAGCCCGGAAAGCTGCGACCCCGCGCTCCAGCCTCAGCCCCCTCCTCCAGCCGCAGCCCCGCCCTCCCTGCTGTGGCCCCGAACTCCTGCCTTAGCGCCCCCTGCTGTGACCCCGCACTCCAGGGTGTGCTCCGCTCTCCAACCACGTGCTCAGCCGTCCCTGCCGGGGCCCTGTTGCCCCACCTGTGGGCTCAGGACTAGGCATAGCAGTGAGGGAAGGGACGGAGGCAGTGCTGAGGGCAGTACAACTACATGGACCGGCCACTGCCCTTGCACACATCAGCCGCCTGCTCCGTGGCATCATCCCGGCTCCAGTCCAGCTTCCCCACTCTCTGAAGTGCAAGCTGATCTGCCACCCCGTTGCGCAGAGCCCTGTGCCCAGAGTCTGGTTTCAGTCCCTACCCGGCTACGCCCTCCCACCCCTTCCTCAGGGCCTGCATCTCGGCCCTGCACCTGGACCACCAACATTCCAGAACGCCCTACACTTTTTTTTTCTTGAAATAGAGTCTCGCTCTGTCGCCCAGGCTGGAGTGCAGTGGCACAATATCGGCTCACTGCAACCAACGCCTCCCAGGTTTAAGTGATTCTCGTGCCTCAGCCTCACAAGTATCTGGGATTACTGGCGTGCACCACCACACCCATCTAATTTTTGTGTTTTTAGTAGAGACAGGACTTCGCCATGTTGGCCAGGCTGGTCTCGAACTCCTGACCTCAGGTGATCCACCTGCCTCGGCCTCCCAAAGTTCTGGGATTACAGGAATGAGCCACCATGCCTAGTCTGCCCCACGCTTTTCTCCCTTCTCCAGCAGGCAAAGCCCGTCTGTCCCCGAGGGGCTCCTTGTGGGTCTGTCCTGGGGGCCTTTCCTTTTCCTCCTCTGCTCCCCAGCCCTCCTGCAGACCCAGTGAGCCCATGACCTTTCCCTTTGAAACCAGGAGCCTCCTGAGGGCAGGCACGGGAGCTTATTCAACTCAGTACCCCAGTCCTTGGCCCGAGGCCAGGAAATACTTGCTTTGTGAATGGATGAATGAATAAATGATTGACTGGATAGGGGCAGGGAGAGGAAGGTCAGCTAGGGCTGGGGTGATCAGAGAAGGCTTCCTGGAGTAGGCAGGCTATCCCATTAATCCTTGAGCCCCAAGGGGGCAAAGGGCAGGTCAGGTGGAGGCAGTCTGAGGCTTCCGGGAGGGCAGAGATGGCCGCTCCTATGGAGCCTGTGGTGCTGGCTTCCCCAGGAGGAGGTGGAGCGGGAAATCATCAAGCAGGAGGAGAACGTGGACCCCGACTACTGGGAGAAGCTGCTGCGGCACCATTACGAGCAGCAGCAGGAGGACCTGGCCCGCAACCTGGGCAAGGGCAAGCGCATCCGCAAGCAGGTCAACTACAACGACGCCTCCCAGGAGGACCAGGGTGCGTGCCCGGAGGGAGGGACTGGTGCCCCTTGCCCAGAGGTGGAGGGTAGGGCAGGATTCTGTCAGGGCATCCCTGTGCAGAACCCCCGGGAGGTGCGGGCTGGGAGAGCTGGGCGAGTGTGGCAGGAGGGATGGTGCCCCATACCCAGAGGCGGAGGGCGGGGCAGGATTCTGTCGGGGCATCCCTGTGCAGGACACCCCCGGAGGTGTGGGCCAGGAACGCTGGGTGGCGCTGGTTGGAGCTGGGAGGCAGCTTTTTGGAGGAAAGGGGACTGGGGGCAGGTGCAGAGGTGTTGGGTGTTTGGGGGAACAAGGTGTGGCATCAGTTCAGTGACTTGACCGCTGCTCGTGACGTGGCCTTGGGCAAGCCCCATGTCCACAGAACAGTGCAGTACGTGTAATGTGTGGGTACACATAACCCTTAGTGTATCATGTGGTGGTGCTGGGATTATTAAATGAACCCACAGGAAGTAGGTGGGCCATTGTCATTGTCACTGCTGTCTTACGGAGCTGGGGTGCAGTGGCTCGGCATGGCCCTGGGCATGCTTGAACTTGAGGGTGGGCTTTGCTTGTACAGCTCACTCCATGCCTCTCTGTCTGGCCCTCTGCAGAGTGGCAGGATGAGCTCTCCGATAACCAGTCAGAATATTCCATTGGCTCCGAGGATGAGGACGAGGACTTTGAAGAGAGGCCAGAAGGGCAGAGTGAGTCTCAGTGTTAGTGATCTGGGCTACTGCTGAGGCCACGTCAGGGGAGCTGATGGCAGCAGGGGCGGGGCTGGTCTGGGGTGCCGCTGTCCTTGGGGGTCAGAAGAGGGGGGTCAGGAATCTCTGGGCTCCCATCTGAGGAGCTGTGACGGGCTGCTCCCCAGGTGGACGACGGCAATCCCGGAGGCAGCTGAAGAGTGACAGGGACAAACCCCTGCCCCCGCTTCTCGCCCGAGTTGGTGGCAACATTGAGGTGGGGCCTGTCTGTTCCCGCACCTCTTTCTGCCCCCGCTTCCTGCTGCCCCTGGGGTATGGAGGAGGGCTGGGACACTGCCCAGGGTCTCATGCCAGGTAGAGGCGGGGCTGGGACAGAACTTGGTCTGGTCTTTGCCGTCAGGGTCCTGCCCCAGGTGGAGGCCCCTGCCTTCTCTGTGCCCCCTCCCTGCCTTCTCTTCCTCCCATGCTTTTCTTCCCCCATCCCAGAATCCTCCGCCCCCACCCTGTCTCTGTCCTGGGCTCATACTCCCGCTCTCCGCCCGCCCAGGTGCTGGGCTTCAACGCCCGACAGCGGAAGGCCTTCCTGAACGCCATCATGCGCTGGGGCATGCCCCCCCAGGACGCCTTCAACTCCCACTGGCTGGTGCGGGACCTTCGAGGGAAGAGCGAGAAGGAGTTTAGGTAAAGGGGCTAGGTGGTGGCCCAGGGTGTGGCCACCTGTCCCTGAGTAGGGCAGGGTCCTGCGGGGGAGCCCTACGGAGGGCAGCATTTGCTCCCACCAGGATGAGGCCGTCTGGAAAGTTCACTGCCATTTGGTCTTTGGGTGGCTGGAGTCCTGGTGCCGGGCAGGGCTGTTTTACAGAAACCACTGACCAGTTGGTTTGGACCAGTGGGTATTATGGCAGCGAGGAAGATCCCGGTCACCCAGGGCCAGGGCTGTCCTAGGAGTTCCCCTTGCCAGGGAGGCCCTCTCTGTCCTTTCCCGGGCCTGGCCCAGGCCTGACTGGGAGCGGGGTGATGGCTGATGATCATCCAGAAGTCCCCCGGGGTCCCGCCTGCCCTCTCAGAGAGTTCTTGCCGGCCCCCCACTCCCTGAGCCCCAGTCCCCCCGCCACCCCAGAGCCTATGTGTCCCTCTTCATGCGGCACCTGTGTGAGCCGGGGGCGGACGGTGCGGAGACCTTCGCAGACGGTGTGCCCCGGGAGGGCCTCTCCAGGCAGCACGTGCTGACGCGCATCGGGGTCATGTCACTAGTTAGGAAGAAGGTGGGTGAGTAGCTCTCTGTAGGGCCCTTCCTGGTGGCTGCCTGGGCTCCTGCTGCTGTCCCTTGGGGGTCAGTGGTCAGAAAACAAGTGCCTGTCTCAGGCCACATAGCCGCCCAGGGTCTGAGTCAGGCCAGAGGGACTGACCTGGAAAGCCTTTCTGGGTGAGGGGCCTGTGGGGTGGAGGTCAGGATGGTGGATTACGTACAGTGGGAGGACACACGGGGTAGGAGGGTGGGCAGGGGAGCTTGTGGTCAGGGGGGGCCTGGCTTGGCCTGCCTTGGGCGGCAGCAGCAGCTACCTCAAGCCTGTGACACCTTCAGCCGCCCGGCTGCCCTGAGGCTCTTAGGGCTGAGCTGCCACCACTGCCCTCCCTCTTTCCCTCCCACCTTCCCTCCCACCACCCCAGGTTCAGGAGTTTGAGCATGTCAACGGGAAGTACAGCACCCCAGACTTGATCCCTGAGGGGCCCGAGGGCAAGAAGCCAGGCGAGGTGATCTCCTCGGACCCCAACACACCAGTGCCCGCCAGCCCTGCCCACCTCCCGCCAGCCCCGCTGAGCCTGCCAGGTCTGTGGGCTGGGCGGGCCGGGGAGGGCACCGGGGTCATGGAAAGTGGCAAGGTCACAGCAACCCCCTAGTCTAACCCACACCCCACAGAAGACGGCCTCTCCTTCCCCCAAAGCCTCTGTTTGCTGAAATGTCACTCTCCAGAGAGTTTTTCATTTTAATGACAGTTCTGAGATATAATTTATATACCTACTGCAAAATTCACTCTTGAAAAACTGGCTGGGCCCAGTGGCTAACACCTGTAATGCTAGCACTTTAGGAGGCCGAGGCGGGAGGATCACCTGAGCTCAGGAGTTTGAGACCAACGTGGCCAACATGTTGAAACCCCATCTCCACTAAAAATACAAAAGATTAGCTGAGTGTGGTGGCATGTGCCTGTAATCTCAGCTACTCGGGAGGCTGAGGCAGGAGAATCCCTTGAACCTGGGAAGCGGAGGTTGCAGTGAGCCAAGATCACACCACTGCACTCCAGCCTGGGGGGACAGAGCAAGACTCCATCTAAAAAAAAAAAAAAAACGTACTATTCAGTGATTTCTAGTATATTTGCAGGATGTACAACCATTGCCACTGGCTAAGGCTGGAATGTTTTCATTCCCCTGAAAAAGAAACCCTGTACCCATTAGCAGCCACTGCCTATCCCCCGACCCCAGGCCTGAGCAGCCACTAACCCACTAACCTGCTTCCTGTCTCGGGATTTCACAATGCTGGGTGTTTCATGCGTACGGCACCACACAGTGCGTGAGGCTTTGTGTCTGGCTTCCGTCGCTCAGCCTGGGGTTCCAGGTTCATCCACATTGCAGTGTGCATCAGTGCTTCAGTCATTCTGCCTTATGGCTGATAATGTTTTCTTTTTCTTTTTCTTTCTTTTTTTCTTTTGAGACGGAGTTTCGCTCTTTTTTCTTTTCTTTTTTTTTGGAGTCTCGCTCTGTCGCCCAGGCTGGAGTGCAGTGGTACGATCTTGGCTCACTGCAAGCTCCGCCTCCCGGGTTCATGCCATTCTCTGCATCAGCCTCCCGAGTAGCTGGGACTACAGGCGCCTGCCACCACGCCCGGCTAACTTTTTGTATCTTTAGTAGAGACGGGATTTCACCGTAGCCAGGATGGTCTCGATCTCCTGATGTTGTGATCCGCCTGCCTCGGCCTCCCAAAGTGCTGGGATTACAGGCGTGAGCCACAGCGCCTGGCAGAGTTTCGCTCTTGTTGTCTAGGCTGGAGCGCAATGGCGTGATCTCGGCTCGCTGGAACCTCTGCCGCCCAGGTTCAAGCCATCCTGCCTCAGCTTCCTGAGTAGCTGGGATTACAGGTGCCTGCCACCACCCGGCTAATTTTTGTATTTTTAGTAGAGATGGGGTTTCGCCATGTTGCCCAGGCTGGTCTTGAACTCCTGACCTCAGGTGATCCGCCTGTCTCGGCCTCCCAAAGTGCTGGGATTACAGGCGTGAGCCACAGCGCCTGGCAGAGTTTCGCTCTTGTTGTCTAGGCTGGAGCGCAATGGCGTGATCTCGGCTCGCTGGAACCTCTGCCGCCCAGGTTCAAGCCATCCTGCCTCAGCTTCCTGAGTAGCTGGGATTACAGGTGCCTGCCACCACCCGGCTAATTTTTGTATTTTTAGTAGAGATGGGGTTTCGCCATGTTGCCCAGGCTGGTCTTGAACTCCTGACCTCAGGTGATCCACCTACCTCGGCCTCCCAATGTGTTGGGATTACAGGCATGAGCCACTGCGCCTGGCTGGTGACGTTTTCTTGTATGGATTTACTGCATTTTGCTTATCCATTGCTCTGTCGATAGATTTTGGGTTGTTTCTACTTTTTGGCTACTGTGAATAATGCTGATGTATTTCACTTTTTTGTGTGGACCTAGGTTTTGAGTTCTTTTGGGCAGATATCTAGGAATGGAATTGCTGGGCCATGTGATAACTCTGTTTTCCCTTTTGAGAAACTACTAGACTGTTTTCGAAGTAGCTGTACCATTTTATGTTCCTGCTGGTATTGTGCGAGAGTCCCAGGTTCTCCACGTCATCAGCAGTACTTGTTCTCTGCCTTCATGATTCTAGCTGTCCTGGGAGCGTGAGGTGGTGTCTCACTCTGGTTCTGATTGGCATTTCCCTGGGCCAAGGACGTTGAGTGTGGTTTCTTGTGCTTATTGGCTATTTGTAGACTTGTAGAAATGTCTTTTCAGATGCTTTGCACACTTAATTGGGTCATTTGTGCCCAAGTGTCTCTTTGGTGATCTAGGTGTTTATTTGGGTGAAGCAAATGCCTGTTAAATACCTGGTCCCTCAGTTGGGCCTCACAGGCCTGGGGCGGACATAGCTGTCCCCCTCGTGGTGGGTGAGGCCAGGCCCTGAGAAGCTGCGCCTCCAAGCACAAGGGAGCCTTTGGAGGTGGACACATCTTGGTTTGCTTCTTGGCTTTGGCCTGAACTCTGTCTAACCTTGGGCGAGTCACCTAACTTCCGTGAGCCTCCACTGTCCCAGCTGTGCCCACCTCCCAGGGCTTCTCAGAGCCGCATAAGTGACCAGCACTTTGCAGTGTGTTGGCGGCTGACTTGGCAGGGAGGAAACTCACACCCTCTCCAGTGGCACACAGCCAGCCAGCCTGCCCGAAAGCTAGGACCAGACCAGGCGGCGTGGCTCCCAATCTGGGCCTCCGTCTGCCTCACTTCCCTGCCTCCAGATGAGCAGCCACTGCTGTGTGGGGCCCTGTCCCGACAGCCCCTCACTTTGGTCTCACTGGGTTCAAGGGCCTCCAAACATTACTAAGTCATAGGCCTGGCCTGGCCTCTCTGACTTAGCCAGGGATCCTGCCTGTCTCTCCTGGAGGTGCTTGGCTGCAATGGAGCCTCCTGAAGGCCAAGCCCCACCTCTCCTCTCTGCCACCCCACTCCCTGCCCTACCCCTTCCCGTCTGAGCCCACCTGTCTTACCTCTTTCCCTTGATCTTTCAGACAAAATGGAAGCACAGCTGGGCTACATGGATGAGAAGGACCCGGGGATGCAGAAGCCAAAGAAGCCCCTAGAAGTCCAGGTGTGGAACGTGCTGGTGTCTGGGTCTGTGGTGTATGTGGGGTGGAGGTTGGGTCTGGGGACCTTCTCAGGCCCTGCACAGCAAGGTGGAACCCAGGCCTCCTGGCTCCCTTTTCGGGGCTCTGAGTCCGGAGGAGCAGACTGGGAACAAGCAACGGGAGCCAGGAGACTGGGTTCGCAGCCCAGCGCACATTCCCCGCCCTCTGTTCCTGGTAAGGCCCCAGGCCCTGCAGTTCTCCTGGCTTCCCCTCTGCAGGCCCTTCCAGCTGCCTTGGACAGAGTGGAGGGCGAGGACAAGCACGAGAGCCCAGCCAGCAAGGAGAGAGCCCGAGAGGAGCGGCCAGAGGAGACGGAGAAGGCCCCGCCCTCCCCGGAGCAGCTGCTGAGAGGTTGGGCTTCCTGCAGTCTACCCACCCCAGTGCCATGTCTGGCCTCAGCAGGCCTGGGTTCAGAGAAGGGCAGGTGGCTGTACTTCAGCTCATTTCTGCCTGGCAGAGAGGTAGACTCCAGCCCTGTGCAGGCCCCCTGGTGAGGGGAGGCCAGGAGCTCAGGCCTCTATATATGGACTTAATGGACTTTAACTTTTTTTTTTTTTTTTTAGGAGAAAGGGTTTCACTCTGTCACCGAGGCTGGAATGCTGTGGTATGATCTCGGCTCACTGCAGCCTCCGCCTCCCGGGTTCAAGTAATTCTTGTGCCTCAGTCTCCCCAGTAGCTGGGACAACAGGCGTGCACCACCACACCCAGCTAATTTTATTTTTAGTAGAGACGGGGTTTCATCATGTTGGCCAGGATGGTCT